TTTGCTACTTTGCCCCCCCCTCTCCCCACTAACTTGAAAAAGAGGCACTGACCACAAATACGAACAGGGGACAGATATTCAAAATTATTTACATTATTTTATACCTCAGTTGACTCTGTAAGTCGATCCCCAAGGTTGTAACGCCCGTATTATTAAACAACATCTTCCCTCTCTGACGAAGAGTGTCCTTAAAGGGATTGTTCTTTCAAGCGGTATTTTTAATTGATCGAACCTCTTTTCCTTTAGTGTGGGACCAAGTAGGGTAGGTCTGGTAATACTGTCCACTTCGCTGATGCATTATGGGTCGTCTTTTTGCTGATGCATTGTGGGTCGTATTTTCGCTGATGCGTTATGGGTCGTCTTACTCTTGTGAGTTTGTTTACCTTCGTTGGTGCTAAAATTAAGAGTACAGCACTCTCATCATGGTCATTTTTTCATCCCAATCTTCAAGGGCAAGTCCTATAGCGCAGAGAGAAAGTGATTTATTATTTCATTTGAATGGGGAGGAAAAGATTTTACAAAATAAAAATACTTGTGGAAAGCCTGTTAGTTACAAACACAGGGGAATATAAATTTTCTGAAGTTTCCAATGTCATTTTCAAATATAACTAATGTATAGTAATGCATAACATAATAGGAAATGGCTTTTAAGTGCTGATATGCCCTTATTATATTGTCATGGGTTAAAAATTGTGGTTTTCAGATAAATATAATTTTTAAACGCCGCAATTTCAATATATTTTATAGTGAGTCGGTCCTATTTATGGCAAATGTTTAAAAAAAATATTTTTAAGTTAAAGTTAAGTTAACCTAACCTAACCTAGCATAACTTATCACATGCCGTGAGCGAACTTATTATTACTAGGACGGGGGAAGCTGCTGTGAATTCCTCTATAATAACCAAAATACTGTATCATATATGCTTAAGTCATATTATCATTAGATAATTAAACTCCATATCCCAGTGAACTTCTTTAATTATGCACCTAATTCAGCCAAATGGAAGTTTACCAAAACGAAATACTGTATTTGGTGATGAAAAATTAGAACCTGCAGTATTTCACATCATATCATGATCCACTGTATCATAGGTAAAATTACCATCCTTGTAACAATGCCCTCCCAGTGAAATTTGCCTTTATCCATTTTAATATTTCTAGGCAAGAACGTCACTAGTTTATATTTTCCAGAGAGAAACTCACTTTTAAAACTGTTAAAAAGTTTTATAAATTACTTTAGATGTGCTTACCTGATTAGTACCAGCGTTAGTCAGATGAGATGACTCCAGCAGCAATGACAGGAAGCACACCTTTTGCAAATGTCATAATATGACAGGAAACAGCCTTTGCAATCTCATAATATAGGCCTTAAATCAATAATGTAAAAAAAAATAGATTTAAGAAATTCCCAATACGTGCTCATTTGTACATTAATCGTATTGACTATAAATATTCAATAAAACTAACAAAACAAATTTTAGTTTTATTAGTTAGTTTTCCCGCCACCACTCTCCATCGTGCGCTGCAGTAAAAGGTCCTTTACATGTAAAAATACAGTTTTCGACACGAGGACCCTCTTCAAGGGAAGATGTTGTTTAATAATACGGGCGTAAGTCCTCTCTGTAGCAACACTAAAAACAAAATATCCGCCATCTTGTGACGTTACATTGCATCTGAAAGCCTTAACTTACAGGACTGTCGGAGCTCTTGTAACGAAACAAACCCCGACAGTTGTTTTGCCATCACATAATCCTGACTGATTTTTTTCACTTTAAAAAAACGCAGCTCGTGTTGTATCACTTGCATTCATTTACCAGATTACTGTATATCAAGTACACTACTATATGCTATAAATAAGTGTATATATTTATGATATAAATGTAAAACAAAGAGTAAAACATATTAATAAAAAGTTGATAACTGATAACATTCTAATGATACAAAATATCATATAATAACTACTGAGATAAATCAGATGCCACTAAGAGGATTCAGGCTCTCACTTGGCTCAACCATGTCAATATTGTTGTTATTGTTCTCTTTGTATTTTCACAGCTAAAAACACTGATTCAATATCAATCAATGTTTCACAGGCATTCTGTACCGTTGTCAGGTCACTAAATGATAAATGAAGATGCTCACGTAAACAAGAACTCACGTACACACAGGTGTAATAACATTAGCCCAAGAAACGCGTATAAGCACATTTTAATACGTAAATATATACAAAATGTACGTATATTCAAGCATATGTTCATATATAGCATACATATATGAATATATGATAGCTGTCCCTTAATTTATAAACACGTGGAACTTGAGGCCTCCGACAAACTCACAGTAACACCGCTAGTTGTCACTGACCTACAACAAAAGCCACATCCGGCAGATGGTCTGGTGTTCTGGTTTTCATCGTTGTGCCGTAAACCCAGAAAAAAAGACGTAAAAGGGTCACCCATACGGCCGTTATACCTTTTTATATTTCCGCCAACCTATACTGAAAACTATTTCACAAGCTTCCAGTAAAACCCCATTAAGATAGAACATGAATATAAGGAATATCTTTTTCCCTTTTTTCTCTTATCTAGAGCGATGCCTAATGTAAATATAAGATTTTTCGTATCAGTATTCTAAATTATTTGAATATATCACAAGCAAGTGTAGCAAAACGTATAACACGTACTAACTATATATAATTTCTTTAAAATCCCACGATAATCATTAACTGTGCAGTGTTGCTTATATTTGTAGATATCGCAAAATTTGTCCCCCCAAACTTATGCCACATTTCATAATAGATCTCACCTACTGAATATACGTACTACGGCCACTCACTCTATGTACTATGGGAATATCTATGAATACCGTGTGACATCACAGATTCGTGTATAACTAACTCCAGAATCACAGAGCTGAGCTAGAACGTTTCACCCCAGTGGGTGAATACTTTCAAACTTAAAGAACGTTGTTTAATGGATTTTGTAATATATTAGTGCAGTTTAACAACTAAGGTGATTTTAAGTGTGTAGTTTACTATAGTATATAAACTAGTCATCAATAATTTAAAGTAAAACATTATTTCACTTTGCAATACTACGTGTTTATTATGACATTGTCTTCTGTTTATCAATAGTAAATGTATTACTGACATGTATAGTTGCCGAAGAAATTTCGTGAACACTTTTAGTCACTATTTGGCTTCTTCTACTTATGGTCCATGTTTCTGATTTCTTTTTACTCTGGATGGTAAATAACATGTAGGCCTATCCATAAAAACAATTTTGAATGTACAACAACTGTATATGATGGTACGCATATATATATATATATATATATATATATATATATATATATATATATATATATATATATATATATATATATATATATATATATATATATATATATATATATATATATATATATATATATATATATATATATATATATATATATATATATATATATATATATATATATATATATATATATATATATATATATATATATATGTGTGTGTGTGTGTGTGTGTGTGTGTGTGTGTGTGTGTGTGTGTTTGTTTTTTTGTGGTCCAGTTACGAGAACAACAAGCTGTCAGTGACAGGTTGAGGAGTGGGCGGTCATGGCTGGCGCTGGCAGATAATTTATCATTCTCTAGGTGGCGCGTAGCAGCTGCTTCCTGGATTATGGTAACACCTTTATTACTCCTGTCGTTTGGAGGTCTAATTAGAGGACAATTGCAGGAACCACAAACCTTAAAACTTAAGCTTCTAATGAACATATATTATTTATCTACGACATAATAATACAGTTAGACTTTTGCTGCGCACCTCCTATACACTGGAGACAAGTTTTATGTTCGCGATCCCCGGTGTAAAAAAAAAAAAAAATGCCAGCGAAGGGAAAAATACCGTCATATTTATGTCAATTATTATACTACTGTAGCGATGGCAATATGTAAATTCAAGATGTTTCTCCTCAAAAGTCACAACAAAGTAACGAAGAACAGTACAACCGCTCGGAAAGCTGATACGTAGTGAACTGATTAATAAAAAAGATAAAACAAGACATGACCACTTTATTTTGAAAATAATTCATTACGTTTTTTTTATTTATTCATCTACTTTTTAATTTATTTATTGTTAAATAATCACAATAGCACAGTGAAAAACAAGTAAATATGTTTAACAATGAACAACTTTTATATTCGCTCTATGGTAGACCCTACTACCATTTGGCATCACAAAACTTGTGACCAAGTCCCAGGTTCCTGATCAGATTTTCTGCCGGATTTACACACAATTGCAGGGTCTTAATTGATTCTTTTACTTTGACAACACAACATACATACATCGTTTCTCACTACTGTATTTTTTTATTTTTTTATTGTCCTTTATTAATATTATCACTATTATATTATATTTTTATTAATTACTGTTTATTATTATTATTATTATTATTATTATTATTATTATTATTATTATTATTATTATTATTATTATTATTATTATTATTATTACTTTCGCCCCCAGGACCTGATTTGGGTTATTGACCTTTGCCCTGGTGGTCTAATCCCCATCTAAAAAAAAAAATGGAAACCGCAAGTCTTGGTGTACAGGCAGAGTTGTTAAAATCTTTCGTCCGTTGTGTTACACTGTCTCACACAAAATCGTAATGTAACTTTTCGGAGAAAATTTAACAGCCTCGGTCATAAACTCTATAAAGCAATTTTAAATCGAAAAAAAATAGATCTCATGATAAAGAATCTGGTGAAGATTAGGAATCTCCGCATATTTCACCTAATGTACATACACTCTTATGAAACATTCTTAAAATTTAATGAAAAAACAAGTAAAAATAGAACTAATCACTCAAACACGAGAACGTACACCAGAAAAGTAAAATACAACTAATAAGTCTGACTTTTAAAACAAATCCCAATATTGTCTCCTTGGATCTCTGGTGTAGGACTGGGTAGAGTGAGCGAGACACAACCCTTACCTTTACTGCGTGCGTGTGTGTCGGCTCTGGGACTGACTGAGTGAGACGTGTGCCACCACACCTCACCTCACTACGCCTCCCCACAACACCTTCCCATTTTACATCCCCACCATACATCCGCATCTCACCTCCCCACCAAACCTCAGCATTTCATCTCCTCACCATTCCTCAATCTCACATCCCCATCACCCCTCCCCACCACACCACCCCATCACACCTCATCACGACATCCCCATCTCACCTGCTCACCATACCCAATCTCGCTTCCCCACCACACCTCACCATCTCGCATTACCCGCCACTCCTCCCTACCATACCTCCTCACCACACCTTCCCGCCAAACCTCACCATATCACTTTTCCGCCACACCTACCCACTACACCTCCCCATCTCACCTCCCCATCACACCTCCCCCCACCTCTCCACACACCTCCCCACACCTCACACCTCCCCATCTCACCTTCCCCATCTCATCCCCACCTCACCTCGCCATCTTACTTCCCCACTACCCCTCCCAATCATAACTCCCCACCACACCTCAATTCCTTACTATCTCACCTCCCCAACACACCTTCCCACCACACCTCCCCATCTCACCTTCCCACCACACCTCACCATATCTCATCCCCACCGCACCTCTCCATCTCACCTCCCTACCACACCTTCCCACCACACCTCCCTACCACACCTCCCCAACAAACCTCCCCACCACACCTCCCCATCTCACCTCCCTCCCACATCTACCCACCACACCTCCCCATCTAACCTCTCCACTATAACTAAACATCACCGTTCCTTACCACCTAGTTATTGCACATATCACCGTAATTAACGCTATGAGTTGTGAAGCGTAGGTATAACGAGCTTCGTGAACACACATTTGACGTTGGTGAGAGGTCAGTGGAAAAACACTGTCACATGTACCTGTATAATTATGACTACGCACTGTTCATAGCCTAATTACCGTAGGTGTATAATCATATAAACATAATGTATGTAGCCCACATTTATATAAGTATTACTGTTTGTTTGACAGGGCTAATACAAGTGAAGTGTGGTCGGTTGGATAAAGAGAATAGAGCCATTTGGGTTTGAAACCTTAACCTATAAACATATATTTGTTACTTCTTGTTTACCTTTAACACTGACTCTACAGGATCTTCATCAGGCATTACAACTAGTAAACAGAATGTAAAATCAGGTGGCAGCGATTTAATACATTTTATCACTTCCGGTATATGTGGCACCACTATACCAAGCAGCATTACCACACCCTGAACATCTTAACAACCCTGCCTTTAAGACGCTCTGACGATTGATTTCACCTGCTAAACATAACAACATCAGCCAGCCTTCGCTCCCAGCGACCAGACACAGCAGCAGCCCCAGGGCCCACCCCAGCACCAACCGCCACCTCAGCACCAGGTCCCCAGCAAGCGCCGACCCAAGAACCTGCAACGCACTTGTTGTTTTGATTCGTTGACACCTCTGATAAACATCTTGCAGTGACTGAACACAGTGACCCACCGTGTGACCCACTGTGTGACCCAGTGCACCCGGTTACAACGGCCGACTGTCTTCGACTTCGCTTGGATCATCAGATTTGAGTTTTCTGAGGGGTGACAACCACTCCCTGGCAACTACTACGTCGTCGACGCCATGTTGGACACGTCATCAATGCCACATTGGAACCGTTACTCCAATGTCATAGCGAGACAACATCTTGGATTTTCGCTGGTGCCCTACTTCTCGCTAGATGTGAGGCTGTACCAAGCGGAGCTCTTCGGACCTACCTACCAGAAATTCGAGACAAAAATCAAGTCGTTTCTTAGGTATTTCACAAACCTGCATTAGCTTTTACATACATTTAACATATTCTAGAACATATCATCAGACGTCAGACGTCATGAAAGGCTAGTTTTTAACTTATAACTGACTTGCTTTGTTTCTTACTTAAATTATATATTTTTTCTTTTGTTACTGATTCACCTATACTTTCATTAATTTACTGTAAATAGATGGGCAATATTGTTGTTGAGAATAATCTTGTATTTTTTGCATTACCATTTATGGATAATTTATTTTATTTACCTGGGTTAGACATTAGGCAATTAGACGAAGATTACATTAGTGACTGATCAATCAGAAAACGTAGCACCTACTGATGCAGTGCAGCCTACCGGAGCTTACCTTGATAATCTCATTCGGAAGATCTGCATGAAACACAAGCTGATTTACAGTTAAACACTTCCTTTGAGAGTAGTGAACACTAAATCGATCAATCATTTGGCGATTTACACCGTACCCATCTTATGTCAGGACGTTCATACGACATCACACTTCGTTACGGTTTTGTTCCTTCTTTTTCCACACCAAACTCCAGTGTGTCAGGACATATTACTTATCTCCTGCAACCTCTAATCCACCAGTGACGTCTCATTTGTCTAACACCCAACTAACAATGGCTAAAGCTGGCAAAAAAATCTCTACTAACACTTGCAATGTCTTAAAAGTATTGCCGCAGAATGATCACATTCGCGAGTTCCCAGTGAAAGATGATTATCACATCGTTACACTTTTACGTTCATGTGAGGATATTATGCAAATATTGCAATCACGGCAGATGAGGATTGCAAGCCTTTCGTACGCGGTCATATAAAACAAGGTAATATCGCCATCGAACACATGAAGTGCTAGTGGACTTGCTGGTCCTAATTATCTTGCTTTCCGAAGCAGCTTCATTGGTCTTTTTCATTTGGGTGCACTGGGTGGTCACCTAAATTGGAGTTTTAGATGGACGTCGCAGGATGTGATGAAATGTGTCTCCCAAGTGGGTGAAGTCTTTCAAGATATCATTGCTAATTTTAGTGTTTCGGACTGGCTGGATGCTGATAGCACAATGTCATATGAGCAGTTTATACTCATTTTTGAGCATGCGGCTTTTGTATTATTTTTACGAAACCCTGTGTAAAATCAAGCTAATGCTGATAATTATAGTAAATCTGATACAATTTTCTTTTACGGACGTAAGATTGCGCTTACAGTACCCCGTACCCCACTGGCCAGAACAGTTAGACCTGTGGCGCCAGTTCATCAAAAGGTTTCCAAGCATACTGACATGAATCCTAAACAACAACTGTTATGGAAACACTGCAACAAGTAAGGCCATACAATTGACTATTGTTACCAGCTCCAGCAAGGTGGTAACAAACACAATCACCACACAACCCCTAAAGCAAATCCAAGTCCGCAGTAAGATAAGACCTACCTTGGCCCTCTTCAGCAGTTGCTCCAGCTACTCCTACTGTATTTCAGTTTCACCACTTTTCCTTCAACTCCTAATAATCTTCTTTCACCTCTTAACTAAAGACTTCGTATCGTAGTTGCTCCAGTTCAGCGTGAGCCACCGCTGCGAGAAGACGCATGTCGCAGTTTCTCCCGACCCACGCGCTTCCACTTGCTCACGACTGCGCCTAGCCAGGCTTACTGTCGCCACACACGCCACTCTCACTTTGACGTGGGTATCTCGTCTCTGTTGAATTGACTTGCTTGTTTTTCTGTGTTTTATGCTCACATTTCTTAGTGACCTCACCGATTCTCCCAGTATTAACGAACCCTGCGGGAACTGTCGTTAGGACAGGCCACAAAAGGGCCCCTTAGAGGGGTGTGAGCTGGGCCTGTGAGTTTAGCTGATAGGGTAGCGTAGGCTCCTCCTTTTTTGGGGGTCCTGTTGCAAAACCAGAGCTACCAACCTACGAACCCCGTTGCGGGGGTGGGGGGTTGGGGGGGTTACGGCACTGGTCCTAGGGCAACAAGGAACTAGGTAGGTGTAGTGAGCCTTCATTGTCAATTTATTGATTTAAGACGAGCGAGAGAGACGTAACCAATGGAAGTAAAATGCCACAAGAGGCCTCGGAAGGAAGACAACATCTCCGACATAGACAATATGTCCCCAGCAATCCACCCCGTGGCAGAACCACCCACCATCGCGATTCCGATTGTGATGAAGTACAAGATTCCCAAGGAAACCGAGTTCAACCATGCATACAAGGTAGTAGTAGAACTGGAACTACAATACAAGAACATCAAGTTCAGTGTGAAGCCCAATCTAGGTGGAGACCTGATACTTTCCCCCCAAGACCACAACACAGCCAAGATCCTCAGCGAGGTCACCAATCTCAACGGGAAGACGATCAAGATAATACCATTAGACCCCGAGAAGAAAACAACCAGAATGGTCCTACTACGATATCCTCTGGAACTACCTGTAGAATTTATCATAAAACATCCAAAAGTGACCAAGGCAGAGCGCTGTGTTACGAGTCAGGACAAAGCACAGACAAGGCAAGTGCTAGTGGACATCAAGGGGACAGTCCCAAAAGAGGTAGACCTAGGCAACAGGGGAACTTACAAGCTGCGTCCTTTTGTCCCAGAACCACTACGATGCTACAAATGTCAGGAATTTGGACATCACCAATCCAGGTGCCACAAAAACGTGAGATGTGGTATCTGCAGCCAAAGCCACAAGACATAAATGTGTATTCAAAAACATAAGGACAGAACCATCACGACAGCCAAGTGCCCAAATTGTGGAAAGAAACATTAATCTTGGAGCACATCATGCCCAGAGAGGAGAGAGCGGATGAAACTTGCAATGGCAAAAATCCAACCACATTCAGAACAGAAGCACCTCAGAGCACATTCGTGTGGGGTCAACAGAGACAGAATACAGTCAACCCAACACCCACTCCGCCCCAACTGTCAGAGGATTCCTTCCCTGCACTTCCTCCACCAGGCTACAGGACAAAATTGAAAACACCGGGACAAAATCAGTCCATGCAGGAAACCATAACAAATCAGCGGACTCCACAACCGCAGCTCCAGAGCTGAGTAGCAGTAAAAGGACAGAACACTCCAGTATTGGTGGAGAACACCATATTGCCTGGGGCACTGCAACCCCTTCAGGCGACCACCCAACTGAATACACCCCAGCCTGCCAATCTACAAGCGGCATTCACCGAAGAACAAATAAAACAGATGATCACGATTATGATAGTGACTTTCTCTACGATAATGC